ACAACTGAATGAAGGGGTACCTTTAAAGAGGGCTATATAGGGGTTATATAGGGATAATGGAAAAGAAAATGGAAACTACTATTTAGGGTTTATGGTTTAGGGTTTCCCAAAATTAGGGGTACCTAGTAGAATGGAGAATCAAATGGAAAAGAAAATGGAAAATGAAATGGAAACTGGGTTTATATAGGGGATTATAGGGATTAGGGTTTCCCAAAATTAGGGGTACCCTTATTGTGGGTCCCCATAATAAGGATCATAGTATTTGGGGGTCTATATTGGGGTCCCCCTGTTTTGGGAAACTACCACTTGTTCCCCACGATAAACGTGTACTCCAGCGTATTCACTTCTAGGGGGTCATTACTAAGAGTCATTAGTTGTCAAGTTTTGGACTTGGATCATGTGTAGATATCCGGGGAGGCTACGGGAGTACGGACGTGTGAAGGCGCTCATGTGGGGCTGACAAGTGGACGCATGAATTTACTTAACCCTGAATAATGGGAACTGGGTTCTGTATACCCTATAGTTACATAGCCCAGTAACCTACTATTTAGGTAGCTGGAGCCCTAGGGTAACATACTGCTTAGGCCATGGGCCACCAGTGCGGGGACTTTACCCTGAGGGCTCTATATACGTGTATGCCTTGTGTACACCTATGAGGGTCCAAAGAACCTCCTTGCAATAAGCTAAGGGCCCATGTTGGGGACTCAGGGTTTAGGGTTTCGAAGTTTAGGGTTTAGGTTCTCATACTCACAGCGTAAACCCCACACCCTAACCCTGACTTATTGGGTTGGGCCCCAAGTGGCGATAAAACTATAGGAATATAAGAGACACTGAGTACAATTATCTATCCCTAGCGGCCAGCAGTAGTGGGCAGGGGGCCAGCTTAATGCGAAATTATGTGAGGCACATGAGGCTGCTGGGTAGGAGTCCCTGCAAAAATCCCACGGAAGGGGTCCAAACAAAGGGATCCTCTTATTAGCTTCATGCTGGTTGTCTACTTTATTGTAAGATAGGACCTCCCAGGAAAGGACCTCTTGTTCCTGGAAACAAGCAGGAAAGGCTGCCAAGACAGGAGCCAGCAGCATGAGGGTGCTGTTAGGCTCCTTCTCCTCTTCCAGGCAGAACTCTTCTGGAAGGCCCAAGATCTGAATGGCCTTCGGGGGGGCTCAAGGAGGGACTGTTGCTGAAGGAGCATCATGGTTTGTTTATAGGGAATATGCAAGAGGGTGCGAGTGAGAAAGATGAAAACACAGAAAAAACGCATCCCTGCTGTTGATACTAAACATACCGCAGGACCTTATTTACTATAATATAGTACTATATACTTCTCAAGGTGCAAGGTCCTCAGGGGCATCCAGGACTTTTAGTATCAACCGTATCCTGAAGCATAAGGTCTCATCCCGAAACTGCATCAAGCCTGCCGTCGCAAGGCCACCTGCTTGATGTCTTCCATGTTCTTGTAGAGTTCCCGCTGTTCCTCATGTATGAAGATGTATGAAATACTTCCAGGTTCATGGGTAATGTGAGTGGGGTTGTAAACATAGCAGCTATAGGCCAATTCAGGATGATTCTGGGCCACGCGTACCTACTACTGAACCTCCAAGTACTTGAGCGCATCTCACATGTTGCGCCTCCATCATTCACCCTTTATGCCATACTTACAGGGCGTAGGGCTTGACGCAAGGAAGCCACTCGCCCAGCTGTCAGAAACGGACCGTCGACAGGTCCCAGAACGTGACCCAAACCCTTTTCGCATCCGGGAGCTGCTCTGACTCGAAACTCGTGCGTGTGGTAGGATGTCAAAATCCTGGTCCCTCGTCGGGAAATCTTATATAGTAGGGCCCTATTAAAACTGAGAACCAGAAGATCACCATAGTTTCGACAACTTAGCAACCACGTTTTTAAGAAATTGGCTGTGCGCAGCCCCTCGGCCCTGCACTCCCACGTTCAGGGGTCCATAAACCTTGGTACCCCCTTGCCGAGGCATGGCAATCAGAGGCTAATGCCCACGTCTGAAACCTGCACTACCTGAAAAATCCAAAGCCCTGAATAATCCCAAGACCCCTGGCCTAAACCCTATACCCTAAACCCTGCACCCCCTAAACCCTAAACCTATAGACTCTAAACGCATAACCTGGCTGCTGGCGTGTCTGGCAGCCACTTGTCCAGGCATCTTTGAATTGCACCTTGCACAGACGGGCCCATCGCAGACCGGGCTACTTCGAACTTCCCGAGCTCAAACCTTAGCTGCCATTCATGGAGGCTATGGTTGATACAGCAAATCCTGCATGACGTTAGTGTACCAACTATAACGCATATTCCCCAAGGTGAGTAATACTTGGGGTCATGTAGGAGGTTCAGTATCAACGAGGGCAAGGGGCGTAGCAAGGACTCATTGTACTTACGTAGAACCAATTGACACCAAGCTCTTTGGGGGACTTGTAGGGTGCTCATAGTTTTGATTGCAACTACAAGTATCTTAGCCTAGAATGGCCTTGAACAATCAAAAAGTGCCCAACACCAGCGCACACGGCCCTACCGAGTCGGCCCTCAACCCTTCTCCAATGGGTGCTCAACTCTGGCTGTAAACTCTATAGTCCCCTTAAGTAGATATAATATGGGGTATATGGGGATCTTATTCTAATATACCCAAAACCATGTTCTATCTATTTTAGGGGGACTATGAATTGAAGAGCCCTGTGGAGCTGGACAAGCTCAGCCCCAAAAAGGCAAGGCTTCAGCTCTGCTCCACACGGGCATACAAACCAAATGCAAAAGGCTTCTCATATTCCGTTCTTCCTTGTTAACCTCCACTAAAGATGGAAAGTTATCAAAGTATGGTTCCTTTCGGGCGCCCCATATTTGGGCCCTTTTAACATGCGGGCCCAAAAGGGGACCATTATTCACACAGCCCACGAAATAGCCCAAAAACAGATCATGTCTATAGATTTTGGGGTCCAAAGTAGGCCAAGTAGGCATCATTTGCAGACTTGTATCCGCATGGTTTGCGCGTTTCAAAGGCTCCGGGTTGACTTTGGGGTCTTCGATAGTCTGGGTTTGGGTATCAGAGAAGAGATATTCCCCCACAAACAGGGCTTCCCAAAATCGAGGCCCCCCCAAAAATGTGAGACCCAATACATTATAATCCTTATTAGGGGGACCCTATCTTTAGCTCTCTAAGCACCTATGGACACTAGAGCACAAGGCCGCAAGTTGCAGATTGCAGACGAAACAGCAGGATCGACAGACACATGTGGGTCTTGGGTTTAAAATCTTAAGCCCCCACAGCTGGAGCTAGTCCTCGCCCACGAATTTTACTAATAGTGGCTCACAAAGAGAACCGTAGGGCTGTTTTACAATTATCTACTTTTGTGGTCGCTATCAGCAGGCGATGGGCATGCCCTGACCTCAACCTTACAGCCCTGAACATGCTGCTCGGGAACAGCTGGAGAGTCTTCCCCGCGCTGTTCCACGCATGGAAAACCGACTTCGAGGAATCGTCGATCACCCAACCTGAACTTGGACTTTTTGTTTGGAGAGTGGCAATACCAGGGTATTGGTTTGGGTCAGGGCTTAGGGTTTCGAGGCGTAGGCTTTGAGGATTTGGGACGAAGGGGTTGACCCCAGCCCACAAACTTTCTGTCATTGACTGAAAATTAGAGGGTATCATGGCCTGGGATAATGGTTTACGAAGTCTGCATAGTTTGGATAGGTTTAAGCAGAACCCCCAACCGTCTACTCTGAAACCTAGAAACCCTAGAGCCCAAGAGACGAATTTAACGTTTTATGCCCTACAAATCCTCTATACCCAAAGCCCTGCCTTCAACACTAGACCCCAAGAGCCCTCTATTGGCATTTGGTTAGCTAGGAATGAAGCAATGGTTCCTTATAGTAAATCCTGTATAACCTATTACAGTAGTTCCCATTTCCTTTTCCATTCCTTCATTCCCAGCTGAGCAAAGGCCAGTCCCAGCGCTAAACCCTAAACCCTACACACCAAACCCCAAGAGCCCTCTAAGCACCCTAAACCCTCAAACCCTAAACCCCTAAATAGTACTTTCCATCTTACTTCACATTATCCCAATATAACCCCAATATAGTTAACCCTAATTTTGCCCCAATGGTACCCCCCCAATTTGGGGAAACCCTAAACCCTAATATTGGGAAACCCCCATACGATCCCAATACAATTTATTACCCCAATGGGTATCCATTTCATGCAAGCGTCGCGCAGGCTCCGCCGGCCTCTCTGCAGGTTTCGGCTGAGCGGCCATCTGAGGACCCGGGTCCGCAGCAAGGGCTCCGGGAGGCTTCCTCAGTGATTTCCCGGAGAGCCCAAAGACCCTGACTAGGGCTTATATAGGGAATACAAAGATTATATGGCGGGTATATAGGGATGAGATGGCGATTATATAGGAATTATATAGAGGTTATATAGGGATTACATAGGGATTATACAGGGGTTACATAGGGGATAATGGAAAAGAATATGGAAACTGCTATAAAATAGGAACACATAAACTGAAGTAGGGCCCTCAAAGAGGCTCATGGTCTACGGTTTGTGCATTCTGGAAGGTTCACAAGCCAGCCCCCGTCCCCAAGCTCTGCTGAAACTATCCCGGATTGGCCAGAATATGCTTCGAGAAGCCTAACTAAACTAGCAACCAGTCTTCGTGGACAGATACTGCGTTTTGGAGCAACACGGCATGATGCAAAGTACCCTAAATATGCTATACCCGCTATACATCAGGACTTCTGCGAGCTTAGTACGATAAGGCCATGGGCTCAAGCAGCTTTGTTAACATCAACTTTAACTTCTTCATCTGCCCCGAAGCCACGCAACGAAATAAAAAAATCGCTGGTGGCTTTGACCAGTTTTTAGGTGAGGATTACCCTGACCTGAAACAACCCCTGGAACCCCATATAGAACCGGTCTAATGGGACAGTAATTAGTCTTTGAGAGGGCGCTCTTCGGGGTTTCATGTTAGTTTGGAAGAGGGTATGACCAATACATAACCCCCGTATAACCCAAACAAAACCCCAACGTTTTGGAAAAGGGATGCAACGAATTCAAAGCATTCCAGAATTGCGCCTGCGCTCCGGGTGTTCAGAAGCCTTGGTGCATCTTTATGTCTTGGTGATTGGCTAGGTTTAGATGGGGATTATGCAAGGCTTATATAAGGTTCTATAGGTATAGTATGATGGAAAGAAAATGGAAGCTACTGTCTAAGATCTAGGGTTTAGGGTTTAGTGTGTAAGGGCTGGGGTCTTGTGCATTGGAGCAGCTGAAGGGTGTCAGGTGTATATGCTAAGAAGCTTTCATCAGGAGATTTCGCAAAAGAACAAGGAGGATTGGCGTGCATGCAGCTTGCGGGTATGAACCACAACAAGAAGGTCTCCGAGCTCTCAACCCCCTTCCATCCCAAAATGAAGCGCCATCAAAGTAGCACCTACGCGATCTTATCATCTGTGCGCTTGCTAACTCCTTTACGATATGTACCATAACTAAGGCTAACTTAGTATCTTTTATGACAGGGACGCATTTAGAGAAGCATTAAGTCATTAAGCCTTGACCCATAGATCAACTTGTTTGAAAGGGTCTCAAACCCTCCACCTCAAACACAAAACCCTGCATTCTGCAACATAAACTCTAAACCCTACTGCTGAGTTCCCTATTGGCCCAAAACGTCTACACATTTTTCGTACAATAGGAGGGCTGATAGGAACCAACTCGAACAGTGCAGGTGTATGTACCCGGCTACTAAGTAAAGCTAAAGCTCTGAGGTTCGTGGACCAAAGAGCGAGTGTCTGAAAAAATACTGGGTAAGCTAAAGCCCTAGACCCTAAACCCTAAATAGTCACCAGGTGACTCCTTGCCTGCCTGCGTCTTCATCACTATATGGGCCGTCACCACGCCAGCTACGCCACTCTTCTCCTAGGTTGCCAGAGTTTAGGTTTTGAGCTCAGGGCATTCTTGTACCTGGCGCTGCGTGGGGAATGAAGTAAACTGTCCACGAATAATCCTCACAGTAGCAGGAACCCCTTGTTCAATCTCCGTATGTCCTCTACATAGAGAGTCCACACTCCTACATGACCTATAGTCTAAACTCCTAGTATCCCCCTTAATAACCCCTATAGTAGTCCCTCATATAATCTCCTATATAACCCCCTTTAAGGAGTTTAGAATCTGGCTCACATGGAGAACCCCAGCCCATGAAAATCAAGGTCCCGTTGAGTCTCTTGAAGCCAGGTCCGCTTGATCCACGAGGCGAATAGCGGAGCATTCTCGTTCGAGTGGAGCTTCCGAACACCTCCGTCCTGCATGCTCAAGATTACAGACCCTTGGGGGTAAGGCTTCAGGGAACACCTCCTTTTGGGGGGAGGGCTCCAAAACCCCGTGTTTGGCTAGGAAGTCGGTGCACCAATCCAGGCCCCCCTGGCAAGAACACTGCCTGGGATCTAAAACTGTGCGAGTCTATACTTGAAACATCTAAAACCCAGTCAATTTTGGCTTGGCTTTGGCCATCAGAGCACTTTATGCTTGCCATGCTGCTTTCAGCTTCTGTGGTACACGAAGGAACTCATGCATGCTTTCGGGTGCAATAGACACCTCCGTGATAGGCACCGTGTCATCCAAGCGCTCACCGCGCAGGAAGCCGCGCATTTTGTCTGCCTCCCAGGTTGCAACAGTTAATACCAAAAATCCTGCATGAGCCTAGGTATGCTGAAGCCTTGACAATTGTGGTAGTCCGTCATATTTAAGTCATGCAGCCTTAAACCTCTTCCTCGCCTACGTCTAGACCCACATCCCTGACCTCCAAGCCCCCAGCCAGAAGGTTCACACCGTGATGGTCGCGAACATCAACCGGTCCGCAAGGCAAGCCCCACAACTAAGAACAGCTTTCAAAGCAAACAGGGCCGCCAGTCTGGGCTACTCACCTGTTTCACGGCTCCAGACTTGGGTTTTGGGTGGTACCCGAGACATTGCCAAAACGAGTTACTACAAGGCGTCTACCCTATACCCTTTTCTTACACATCCCTACATGCGCGTAAATAACGCCCATACAATCCCCTACGTACCCCTACATGAGCCAGAGTATAAACTCCTAGTATCCCCGTTAACAAGCCCTATAGTAGTCCCGCATGTAACCCATGATAGAATCCCCAAGGAGTAAGACCCTAAACCCTAAATAGCAGTTTCCATTTTATTTTCCATTGTCCCAATATAACCCCAACATAACTCCTATGTAAACCCTATATGGCTCATATAGACACCCTTGTTTTCCAGGTAAGGTCCATTGGATGCCTGGTCCTTCTCGGCGGTTCTGTTGGCTTTCAGCTGCCGCAGGATCTCGGCCAGTTTCTGGCGCGCGTCTGCGTTCTCCGGCTCAAGCTCCACTACGCCCTGCAACATATTAGATACGCAAAATCTTGCATGCGCTTACTATACTATAGCACTATAATTTTCCAAATGATAAGGTACTTAAGGCCATGAAGTACTCAACATAGGGATGTGCGGCTTGGCCTACATTACAGTTTTCATGCTGGAGGAAATCTATCCTAGAACTTATACAGGCGCCCGCATGGTAGCAGAAGCCCCGCCGTGGGGACACGTGTTAGTATGCCTCGATCCCCCACTTAACTTTGCCATTCCCGGGGAGGCTGGCTTGCTTGCACAGTGTGAGCTGACATTGTTGATCCTTGGGGGGTTTTAGATTATTACAGTGACGGCGAACCGTGACGAACCCCTGAACTTTTTCATTATGGCTGGAGGCAAAGCAGAAACCAATCAGCTTTACCTTGTTGTCCCTTGATTCAACACACAGCCGTTTGGGGCCCAACCTCCTAGTCATGAGAGGAGCGGGGAATGGTGCACGGAACCGCTCATAGACAAGAAATTTCAAGAGAGATGGTTAAGGCGCTGAGGGCACAGCTTAGCTTTAAACCAAGGACCCAGGCAAGCGGAAGAGGCAAGGAGCTCTTCATTCAGGAAAGGACGCTCGGCTCAAGGCTGAAACGCGAACCCTGCACTCCAGAAATCCGAGCGTAACATTTACCTAGGTAGACATGTTGCAAAGCACTCGCATCATTTAATGGCAGTAATAGGAGGCTGTAGGACATTTCCGGGCTATAACTCGAGGTCTCCCTACCTGAGCGTAAGGCCTGAGAATCACTGTGCCATTCCAGTGTCTATTCCATTGCCAATTTCTTGGTCATAAATTGGGTCTTCCCTACACCTACTCTAAACGTGGAAGCCTGCTGTAATCTCTATTTGTTACTATACATCCTAAATCCTAAAACCTTGGGTACTAAACGTATGTTTTAAAAAAGCAACTCAAACCCAAACGGAGCCCTAGTTTCTTTTTCATTCTCTCTTTTCTGTATAGTTCACCTTCCATTGTAGTTTCCACGTTTTGTTCACCCTTCATCCCCAAGCCTCAACCCTAAACCTTAAACCCCGACAGTATAAGAGTTTCCATTCTACTTTCCACTATCCCAATATAACCCAGCTATATAACCCAAAATATATAGCCCGAAATAAATAACCAAAAACATAAAACCCAAAATATATAGCCCGAAATATATAACCCCAAATATATAGCCCGAAATAAATAACCAAAAACATAAAACCCAAAATATATAGCCCAAAATATATAACCCCAAATATATAGCCCGAAATAAATAACCAAAAACATAAAACCCAAAATATATAGCCCAAAATAGATAACCCAAAATATATAACCAAAAATATAGAACTCAGAAAATATAACCCTAAATATGTCCCCAGCTTTCCGGGCACCTCCAGGTCTTCGCGCGCTTCACGCAGCTTACCCTGACCGATGCGGGCCACCCCTCTTCGATAGAGGGCCTTGGTGGGAGATTCGGAGGGACACTACCATTTAGGGCTTAGGGTTCAGGGAGTAGACCCCTGATTAATAAACCCCCTCCCCTTAATTAGTAGGGTCTATAATTGAGGCCCTTAAAACAAAGGAGTTTATTAATCAGGGGTCTACATTATGGCGGCTATAGGAGCATAACTGTGTAGGGGTTGATACGTACAGGGTTTTTTTGGGCATAACTATAGGGTTGAGGATTTAGAGGTAGAGCTCAGTGGAACAAATCTTGCACCACTCAGGATCCCCACGATACTGCAATTTGAAGGGTATAGGGTATGGTGGTGCAAGATTTACTGCAAAGTTTGGAGGGGTGGGTGTTGTTCTGAAGACCCGAGGGAGGGGCGTAGCCTTAAGAGACCATGGGGTCCCTTCGAGGGAAATTCCCATCTCGGTATTTTCCATACGAAGATCTACCCTGAACCCCTGAACCCTAGACCCTGAACACTAAACCCTGAACCCGAAACCCCAAACCCTGAACCATGAGTGAGGTCCAAGGCAAAGGTATGTGTGGAGGTCTCTACTGCATCAGGACCCGAAAAGACCAGGAACCGAAGAACACCTTGGGTGGCAAATCCACGCCTGAAATCCCGTCAGGTTCAATCTTGTGGAAAGGTTGTGTGCAATCCCTGTCTCCAGGACCCTCAAGCAAGGGTGCCAGGGGCAGTGAGTATGGCAGCTTCCCAGACAGCCCCCCCATGATAAAGCCTTTTCAGCCAGGCCGCCCTACCCTCCAAAGCCACAAGCCCCTTGACTGACACTACTCAAACGCAAGGGGTTGCGGAAAAATGAAAGTTCTGCATGAGAAACCTTGGTGTTCTTGGAATTCCTTTGAAGGATCTCGGTAGTGGTGTCAACAGCGCGAGACCACTCGCGGCGCTTGAGATCACAGAGAGCCATGTTGTTCCTGAGTAAACAGATATCTTCAAAAGAAACAACTTCATCCTTACATACCGCACTATAGACCTCCGATGTACTACTGTATAGTCCATTTTACAGAGCCCAGAATCAAAGAAGGGCCCCTAGCTAGATGTGTGCACTTTCCCTTCAAGTTCGCTGCCTCCCCCACCCACTCAATTATTCCTTGAGTATTCTAGACGAATGAGAGATGTGACATGCCAACATTGGGGTGTGATTCGGGCTCTCTAAATAACACTATTGTCTGTTTCAAGTAGTTGGACCCCACACTCCCTCAGGGGCCCATATCGTATGACATTACCTTTTTGCGGCCAGGTCTTGTTCGGCCAGTGGCGCTTGGAGAATGAGAAAAAAAGTTGCGCCAATGCTGCCCGGGGCTCTTGATGCCCTCCCACACCTCGTCGGACTTCGAAAGGTGCAAGCAGCAGCGTTCCAACATCTCAAGGCTCCCTGAATAGAGGCATTTTGCGCTGAAGTAATCACCAGTCCGGTACTTCTCATTCGCCTGCTCCTTTGTGAGGTTGTCTGGTTCAACCCTGACAGAAAGGCCTGGGGATCCCTCACTATGTCAACTACGTGGTACTTAGGACACCTACTAAAAGTTACCTTTTAGGTACCTATAATAGGAATATAAGGGACTCTCAGAAAGTGAAGTGTCTAAGGTACAAGTTAACTGCCAAGGAGTCCAGAGTTCGATGACGAATCCCTAAGGCTGCACACACAAATCCCGCTAAACAATTAGGGGGGCAATTTAAGAAACATTTTGGCACCTGGGGATCTTTGTGGGGATACTGCCCACCGTGGAAATTCTGGGTCCGCCCTGGGATCCTATAAATATACAATTTCTTCATCCCGGTAGAGTCATGTAGAGCCACGAAAACTCTGAACCCTGGATCTCTGCAAGACATGGGCGACAAACGCTCTGATGAACCCTATCTGTTAGAAGTACCTATCCCCAAGCCTGGGTCAATGCCCCACCCAGCAATAGGTACCACAAAGGACTACTGTAGGTATACCAAGGCGCTATGAACTCCATATTTATGGGCTGGTACTTTAGGGGGATTGACCTAACCCCAAGCCCCAAAACCAAGGCCTAAATATAAATCAAAAAGGTGGGCTCCGTAAAGTACGGCCGGTCCCCTAAACCCTAAACCCTTAAACCCTAAACCCTGAAACCGTCCTTCATCTTCAAAACTTCCACCAGCCTGTCCCTGTCAAATCCAGGCGGGATGTCCAAAGCGTCCGCACCTTGCTTCCTTGTTTTCAGAACCCAAGGGCTGCCAGGGTGGGATGGGGGAAATCTTGCACCACTTAGGTAGGGTTTAGGGTTTAGGGCTTAGGGTCCAGGGATGTCTGTACAACAGTAATACCACAACAGGAGCAGCTAAAATTTGGCAATAGGTCAGGTCGTGTTCCATAACAGCTTGCCCCTTCGACGCCCGGTACACTGTGCTTCCAAACTCAGATACTCCGGTATGACTGCGTTGCTGTTGAGGAATGTAAGTCAAGTTACCATAAACATGGGTATATTGTAAATATTACCCTGGGGCTCTAACTATATAAATAATACCTACATTGGGCCCCAAACCCTATAAATAGTACCTACATGGAGCCTTAGGGTTAAGGTTTATATTGACCAGGTCCACAAGTGAAAAAGCTCTGCGCTGAGGCGTGGCTGTACAGCCTGGTTTCCTTTCACAGTAACTTAGATTTAAGCTCTTTAGCAGCAACCCATATAAAGGCCCAAGTACCTACTCAGTAGGCATTTTCTGTGAGAATCCCAAGCACAAAGCTAGTCTTTAGTGGACACTTAGACCCTTAAACATTGCCCTTTAGTGGACACTTAGACCCTTGAACATTGTCATCTTGGTGGATCTGAAAGATAGGGGAATTCCCAATATAGACACCCAAAATGCCACAATCCTTATCATTGGAATCCCCCCTCCATGGCCCAAAACCCTGAACCCAAAACCCTGCACCCTGAACTCTGAACCGTAAACTCTGAAACCTAAACCCTAAGTGAGCGTCTCATTCTGTTGTGCCGGTTGGTCCCTTGCCATCAAAATCCGGCACACCAAAAACAGAGGTAAAACAAGGCAGGCCCGCTCGGGCCAAGCTGCAGGGACAGCGAAACTGTTTAGGAGTTGGGGATTTAGGGTTTAGGGCTTTCGGGTTTATGGTTTCGGATTTGGGGATTTAGACACGCGCATCGCACACAGCAAGCACGGCAAATGCTGTCCTGTCCAGTTTGGGGATTTAGGGTTTAGGGTTCAGGGCTTGATTAGGGTTTAGGATTTTATGATTTAGGGAATTCCTGCACTGCTCGGAATACTGCCAAAATATTGCAAGTCCCATCTTCTGCGGCTATACACCAAGGCCTCTCTCCTTTTGCCTGGGCCTTTTTTGAGGGGTCTGAAAGATTGTTCCGCGTCCGGCCTGAGATAAAACATGCAAGATGGGACTAGCACAGAAGTACGCTTCGAACACAAATTTCGGGGATCCTTGAAGTCCGGGGCACGGGGCAAAGTCTCCCAGCATGGGGATAATGGAAACTGACATGGAAACTACTATAAGATATGGGTGAAAATAAAATGGAAACTACTGTATTATGATAGCGTATATATTGGGGTACTCATGCTATGGACCTAAGCTTCCAGCCTGTAAGAAGCGGGGACTTGCTAATCAGCTTGCCATTGCTAACCCTATGAGATGCATGTCGTGAGCCAAGCTTTGTGACGAGTGGAGCTTCATATCTTAGCCGTCTCATGCTCTCCTGCACCATGCAGTTTTGTAACATGAAGCCTGGGTGCGGCGGGATTTTGTTGCTTTTACTACTAACAATCAGGAAATCCCCCAGAATGAGTATCATCTTCGTTGGGAAGCCTGGCGCTGAAAAGGCGGCAAGGCTACACCCTACTTCTCTGCAACAAGGATGATCATGAGAGTCTGTTCTTCTAATTGCGGGCAATAGACTACAAGCAATATGGCCAGCTGTGACATCCTTACACTGCCAAGGAGGCATCGCGCTGGTGGCCATCTAGGGTCAACGACAGCCTTGCCTGAACTTCAAATTGTGGGTGGCTGTGCTGGCAATGTCATCAAGGGCAGCCTTGGCAAACACAAAAGTGCAACTTCTCAGGCAAAGCGGTCCCCTGTTTGGGGGGTCTGAGCTTGGGGAACACGCATCACATTGCCTTGATCGCCTGTGACTAGAATTGCAGCAACGTACACGTCGTATAACTAGCAACAAATCACCCGCAACTGCTCAAATCCACTGTGGAGATCATGGAACACAAGCTGTCATTCAAGCTTTTTTCCGACAAGAGTGCCGCTGTTTGTGCTCAGGATGGGTGCTGCGTTGCATACACCCATCTCCTAACAAATGTGACAACGCCACAAGCGTTTGATGGGCTGCCCACGTAGTAGCCGCCGCTAAGGTTGGGCCTACATTTTCCGCAACTAGCCCCATGTAATGTCAGCCGGGGGAGTAGTTTCGTAGCGTGACTTAGATAACCCCATCAAAACCGTGCGGCCTTAGGCATCTTATTCGTAATCGCTATTCCTGGCTGCCACTGGACACCCTCTCTAGACTAACACACCTGAAAACGGATCCGATAAACCCTACAGGCCTTTGAAGCAGCGGCCTATGATTCAGCGTGGCCCATGTTGGGTCGTTAGGGGCCCTGGAGATACGGGGATCACAGGGGGTTCTGGGGCTGCAACTAATTAATCCAGGATTCTATGGGGGGTGCGCGAGCCTCATCACCCACCTTGCATGTCCAAAAATCAGAAGTAAGAGGGTTGTTCCCAAAAGAACCCTTCCTAGATAAGTAACCTAATGGACAAAAGGTACTTGTTTGGGAACCACCATTTGTTTTATGGTTGTTTGGCAACCCAGGCCCTCAGCCCTAAATCCTAAACCCTCACTAGTCATTTCCATCTTATTTTCCATTATTATCCCAATATAGCCCCTATATGCCCCCTGTATAACCCCAATATAACCCCCCGTATAACTCCAATATCGGATGAAGTTAAACATCTGCCCAGGCGCAGGGTTACCCAGGCCCCACGATGCAGATGCGAGCCTTTCGGCCTCATTGGTGCCAGGGGTACCCCGCCCCCTCTTCTCACACCATCGCGGAGACCCTCTAAAGGCTGTATAGAGATCCAATCGAATTCTGCATAGAAATAAGATAGGAGTATTTAGGGTTACAAGACTTAGGGTGCCAACTCTACAGTGAAAAGATCGCTTATCTAGGGTAACCTTCTGTTTTGCTAGCAGGGAATAAGGGAATAGAATCCCTGCAGAATCCCAATGTAATATATTCCCATATTCCCAACTAAAGCACCAGTAATGTAGTGACAACCATCTGGTCCTCTGATGGCTTTTCAATGGCTGACCCTGACAGAGGAGCAGTTAGCTCCGAGACGTGTTGCATCCCCTAGACTACTAAGACTACATTTACTACAGTCGTTTTGAGTCTGCATACTAGGTTTCACATCAGGTATAGGGGAATGGAATTAGGTCTCCTGTGACTTGCGGGCTTGTGGCACGGAATCTCCACGAACGCGTATTGGAGATTGCTCCACACCCAGCGCTATCGTCACGTATTAGGCCATATTTCTACCTCTCAAGTCTTTTCACTACGCCATGCTCTCTGCGTGTGCATCCCATTGCCTGGAAGTCCACATTTACCGCGATCATGTTGCATGAATGTCTGATCCACAGGTATTCCCAGCAACGCTCAGCGATGAGAAGCCGTATCCCCCGACCTTACTGAAGCTTGCGGATGTGTTTCCAAGATGTGGTTGCAGCAGGATCCCGTTTCTTAGGGACACCCGTTAAACCAACGACAACTTCCTGGTAACCTTCATAACCCAAGGTCTCTACAACACACTCATCATGATCCCGTACTCCCAAGTCATGCTGTTATTGAGATGTCGGCTTCGCACTCAAACTCAGCCTGCCGTTCCTTGCACGT